ATAAAGCAACTGGAAGATTAGATGAGAACGGAAGTTAATGGAATTGCCCGATTGAATACCTTGGCATTATTTTTCATAGATTTTCTCTCTAGCTCGTATGACGTGCTTGTGCGACTGATATTTTATAATAATATATCTTTGTATATATCTTTGTATATATGTTATTGTTATTCAGCGGATATGGCACATATTTCCAGTCAAAGATTTACTTTAACAACACAAGTGCGGGGAGGTCAAAAAATACAGCGGCTGAAAGAGAAGAAGAATACGAGACGGAAGTATCAATAATATTCCGTTATGAAAGGGATTAGTATAACAATGACACGAAATTTCTCAAAAAAGGCAGAATCGTAGTATTTTCAAGATCAAGATTTCTCTCAATCTATCGGTGTACATAGTAGTAAGTTCGTTGTCATCGTCGTCGTCATCCTCGAGGTTCACGGCCGGTCATTCGGTATCTCTATCGGTGGTAGACGTTTACGATTTTCTCGTCCGTTCACGGCTTTACTTTCGACACTTCAGCATTTCCAAAAGGTAACGTTCGTTCCACGATACAGAAAGAAGAAAACCTTTATTCGTACCCTTGGGTCGTCATCTTTCTTGTATCAATTCGGCGAGACGGTGCAAACCGATGCCGATTATAAAATCGCGCGTTATAAATGTCAGTGATGGAATCACAGAATTACTGTGACAATAAGAAAACGTTCGGTGTGAAATTATGGCGATAGAAGCTCGTAAAGGTAATATTTAACACGCGGAGCTTTGTTTTATCTCGACGCATTCTTTCCATTCCGTGCATCTAATTCTACCCTACATTCCTGCTTGTCATTTGTGCTTCCCTCATATTCCTTTATTTCATCTCATCCTTTTGTGTAGAAAGTATTCATTCGTATTCACTTTGTCCTTGCGGATTCACGACTCTTCTTTTCGCGACATTGATAGAATAAGTCACGATGACTCGCGGCGGTATTTCAGATTCCTGCGGCCAGATAGCGATATGGACGACACTCGTGTTTGCGGGAATGAGTAATTCGAGGTTTCGGAAGGAGCGATGTACACTGACCATACATTTTCGCGTACGTTGTCCTCCGCGAGGTTCACGGTCGGTCATTTGTTCGCCGTTCGTTCGACATTGCGGAGCGCGCCACCTCCGCGCGGAATGAAGCTCGAGCTTTCCAAATTCCGCGTGCTTCCCCTCACGTTTGACTTTTATATTTCTCTTGGCTTCTACAACCATACCGAGGATCCTTCCTGATGCGATTACCCGATAGCAAAAGGCAGCAAGATACGTCGAGCAGTGACCTAATCGAGAGACTTGCGCGTTATTATGCGCCCTGTAATTTCGGTCGCGACCGAACGCAACATCATCGTCGGCCTGTTCGATTCTTCGAATCCGTCGAGAATTATGTCCCGAACGGGACGCACGCCGATACGCTGAGACAGGAGGAACCGGTAAGGGGCAGGTGAGGAGAGGAGAGAGGAGAGGAGACGCGAAGAGAAAAGAAGAGAAGAAAAGAGAAGAGGAGAGACGCCGAGACGCCCACGGCGATGAACGGTACATCGCACCCGCTCGTAACGCCTCGTACGGCAGCTGTAAGTACGAGCAAGTTGTACGCGCGGCTCAGGTAATCAGCTCGTCCATAAATATGTAAATTTCCTAACGCCTTGTGCTCGCGCGCGCATGATGCGCGCTTCGTTCCTCGCGAAGCCTCTTCGAGACACGCGCGTGCAGGACGCCCGCCGCAGGTTCTCTATTCCTTTCATTCATAAAGCATGTTCGCAGTAAAACTGCGCTGTGACTTCGAAAAGGCCAATTTTCTGTTGTCTTGTATCTACGCACCGGACCAGGGATGTTCTTTCTCTCGTTGGCAAAGCCTTTTAGATCCGCTTTTCATAGTTTTCGCATCGCTTCCGCTCAGCGAGTTTCTCAAGTGTAACGTCAAATTTTACATTTTTGAGAGAAAATTCAGGTCACGAGGAGAACATGAAGTAACTTTAAAAATTGTCATATTATGTCATAAAGTAATAATATATCATGATAGTATAACATAAATATATAAAATATAAAATATATGAAATATAAAATATAACCTCTATATCATGTATGAATAATATATTTTTTTATATCGTACATTGCATCATATAATTTATGTTACTGTATACCATCATAACATATAATACATTATATTTTATCATATATTATTGTAAATCATAAATTTGAAAATGCTTATTAAAAATAAAAAGTAGTTCTGCAATAAAGTTATGTATTATCATCCGGCCAAAGTTCTTTCACTTAATACAAAAGTTCGTCCAACTGCCGTTTGTTAATCAATGCTTTACGTGTAGATCAATCGAAAATCTTCGTGAAAATTAGATGTTTATTTTTACGTGAGAATTTATTTAAAAATTATAAAACCTTTTTCATAAACGACTTGGGTATTGGAGAAAGAACCTTTCGTAGTAGACGCGCCATCGACGAGCAACGAATGAAAGATCCGAGTGTGTTCGGCGAAGAGAAGGTAACAGCACGATTATCCGCCGCCGTGCTCGTACGTTCTATTTTATCGACATTGGGGAGAGTAAATGTGAATTTTATTATTTGATGTTACAACACATTGTACATTAATTTTTAGAAACATGACCACATAAAGATAGCTTTGATACTTCTTCTTCTCCCATTTTAATTATTTTCCGCTATTTAAAATATATGTAAAATATATCGTCGATAATTGTTTAAAATTTATGCAAAATGGGGGGGGGGCGGTTGAAATCGATATGATTTAGTTAAATTTTTAATGCTGCTTTACCGCGATTAGGAATCTCAGTTCTATCATATGTTACAATCCAATTAACTAATAATATCTCATTAATATAGTAATGAGATATATCAGGTAGCATTTATTAAATATCGATAGTGTAACGTAAAGATTCGTCAGATAGACGAATAGATAACCTACTATCGTGTTACTATCGTGTTACTATCGTGTAATTTTATTGAGAAATTTGAACGATAACGATAAATTTTATAAACTATTTAAATTAATTATTAATTATCAGTATTGATTATGCGACTCGTTCTAAATGTTTTTTCGAAGATGGAATTTTTTTATGAGACGATTAATATAATATATTGCAATTTTTAATTCAATCAATTAATTGACTCTTAATGGTTTTTGCTTTTTCTCGATGTTCATTTTTAAGAAAAAAAAAAGAAAAAACTTAATTAACGGCAAATATTAAGAAGCGTACGTAAATATGGAAATTAATTTTACGCTGTTATCGTATATCTTTTCTTCCACCGGTAAATTTATAACGTCATAAGAAACGTTATATTATTATATCGTGCAACAAAGATAAATATAGCAGCATGTTAATCCGCTAACTGTGTGTATCGTGTGTACTAACGTGTGGTCTTAACCCTTTGACTACGGATCACTTGGGGGCAAGGAGCTCATCTTTACCGTGTACCTTCGCGTGTTACGATGCTATTTATAGATTACATAAAATCGGATTTGTGAAAAAATATAGCGAGCGTAGATTGCCGAGAGTTTATAGGCGTCGATGGAGCTCAGCGAGCGATTACCGCTAAAAGTTTATAGCTACTGATAGTACACGGTGAATATCTTGTCGAGCGTCTATAAGTGCCGATAACAATTAAATGGTCGAATAAAAAACCAGTATCTTCATTTTTGTTTTTCGAAAAGAAATTTGATTTGTGTTTTATTTCTGAACAAAAGGAAGATAACGCTTTTTTTCGAAGAAAATGTCAACGTTGCTTTCATCACAAGATAAAAGGTAAAAATTATGGAAACCCTGAAAAATCTCGGAAAATATAAATGTTACAGAAAGGTGTTCCGAATAAAAGTTATAGGGTTTAAAAAGATCTATTTGCTGATGTTATCAGTTTGACTTTGGATAGCGCCGCTAGAGTCAGGACAAGATTAAGTGGAACTTTATTAAACTTCCAATTTGACTTCCAATTTTTTACTACGTATTCTTATAGCCTTTGTTGAGACGTTTTCAGAACACTATTATAAAGTCTCTTTTGCTTAAGAATTTCTTGAGATATTTAAAAATTTGTCATGATACTTTTTATAACATAAAATATGATATATCTGCAAAGTAAAGGAAAAAAGAGGATTCGAATAAGACAAGATCGAGGAAGGATCTGGCTATCTAAGGTAAGATCCGGAGGAGGATCCGGCTATCTAAAACGAGATCGAGCAAGGATCCGGCCATCTAAGGCGAGATTGCGGAAGAATCTATCTTTTCAAAGTTTCCACTATTCACAGTTTAATAATGTGTTAGTCGATTATAAAATCTTGAAAAAGCGTTCCTAATGCAATCTCTGGGAATAAGCGCAGCTTCATTAAGGATTCGACAATGTAGAATGTAGATCATCTACAATATGTGGTTTTGCTGTTTTACTTTAAAATATCTCAAAAATTTCTTAACCGAAAGAAGCTTTAGAAATTATAGTGTTTTGAAAATGCCTCAACAAGGGCTATAAGAGTATGTAATAAAAAAACTGGTGCCACATTTAAAAAATTCCTTGAATTTGTTCTGACCTTGACGACGTCATTCAAGATCAAGCTGATAAGAGCAGTAAATAAATCTTTTTAAGTCCTACAACTTTTACCGGAAATATTTTTCTGTTAAACTCATATTTTTCGAGACTTTTCAGGATTATCCATACTTTTTCCTCACCTTGTATATATGATTTTGCTGAAAAAAGTCTTAAGCCTTTAACATTGCTGAAAAAAGACCGCGCTTTTTATATTTCCAAATATTTACCGATATTCGCTCTACGTCATTCTTACAAAACTTTGTTCAGATTATGCAAACTGTCATTCCTCACGTAGTGGGTGTTCCCCCTCAACGGTGGATCGTGGTCATAGGACTCATCATCCTTCCACAGTTTCTCGTTACGCTTGCGCTATCAGAGGAATCGTGCGCGGAGCGCGCGGCTATATAAAAGCAGCCACTTGTTGAGCGGCGCGCATTCCGCCGATTCGCTTCCGCCGCGGATATTTCCTGCTGGACAACGAAAAAGGAAAACGAGTGTGACCATCCGGCAGGAGAGACCACGGCAGTATTTCTCGTCTCGTGTGACTTCAAGTCATCATATCCTCAACTTAATCCCTTACGATCTGAGCGATCGACGTGGGACTTCCTACCAGGTCAGCCGATCTCGCCTCGACACTCGAAATTCAAGCGTCAAAGAATAGAGGCTTTTGTAGTTTTATGTGCTTCCTTTTACACATGAATTGACAAGTTGCTCGTGAGAATGCTTTCGGATTTGTTACCAACACGTCGCGACACTCTGGAGATTAAAGTCCCGGTGTAGGTGATACAAAAAATAAAATAATACGTAAATGAGAAAGGTTCGCCGAAAGAAGTAATTTTGAGATGTAATTTTATTACGCACACATAAAGTTAATAATTGTTTCGTTGCGTCTTCTTTTTTCTTCTTTACTTCAAAAATTCTCGTTGCTTTTATCGTGATCGTTTAATCAAACGAGTGGCAAACGAACTCAAAAGACAACGGTGTGCGCGATATCTTTCTCGAATTGCTCACATTTTCGAAATTTTCGAGAGAAATCAATCCATGTTCGCGCGATTATTGCACAAGTGACACAATGTGATTTAATCTGTAGTGACATATTGCATTTATATCACGCCGCGGATCATATCGGCTCCTTACAATTATAGAATTCGTAAAATCATTTCCACGAGATCGACAATGTTAGATTGTTATGCAATCTATGCATAGTTGATGCGAAAAAGAACATCGTGATATTTCCAAACAAAGTCCAAACGGTCCGGTACGTCGTTATCACTTGAGACAGGCGAGCCACGTGTATCGCGTTAGTATTTAATTCGTTTCCATCAATCGTATCGATTAATTAATTAAAGCAAGAACGATCCAAAAATGTTAAAGTATTATATTTCCTCGTAATAACGTGAAAAAATTTAATACCTAAAGACGTTTCACAAAAGAGTAAAAAGATAAAGAAAGGCAGGAAGCGATTTAAATATTGGGGATTATTGACATTATGTCAATTAGATATATTTTCATTATACTCGTCGCAAATAACAGAGTAAAGAAGTAACCTTCTTGCATAACTTCGGTCACGACAAGTTTTTACTACTAAAATCTATATTTAAAAGTTATCACCGTTTAAAGATATATTTATTTTCAACTATAGAGGAAAACGTCGTCACAGCAGTGTTCATTTAATTTCTTTTAAATCGAAATGTATCAAATGCTCTCTGAAAGTTTAAAAGAGATATTAAAGCTACTTACTTCTAAATAAAATAGACACATATGTTACATAAAAAAAAGTATCTGACGTTCTTGATCGTACGTAATGTAAAGTAAATTATATATCGCAACATATCACGAAATGAATGACAATTGTAAGATATACGCGACATTTAAATGTTCGACGAGATGCAACTCGAAATGTCAGCGCAACTCTGCCGTTTCCGACTCTGGTCCCAATTAAAGTGATATTTATTATCGTTACAATTTCATCATGACAGTCATCGCTGAAAGATATTTAATCTTCTTTAGTTAATAATAATAATACTAATAATAATAATAATAATAATAATAATGATAATAAAAAGTAAAAAGAAATTAATTGTAAGGGAAAACTCGGTAAGAATATTTCATCCGATTTTGTGTGTGTGATAGATTTGATAACGCATTTATATAGTTTTGGCTTATTTTTGAACATCTTTATTAAATTGCGATATATAAGTAAGCGATAACATTAAAGTTAGCATTGAAAATATGACAGCTATTTGATACTTCTTCAGAGTAAATCTACGTGTTTAACATATTCATCATAATTCCTTTCTCAAATTTATTATGTATCGCCTTTAATTTGCAAGCGTCACTTTAACTTTGCTTAATTCACTAGAGATGATTTATATAAAGCGTAAACAGTTAACGGATAAAACTCCGTCTAGACCGCGGATTATTAGGTAGGACCGGTAGATTCAAGGAACATTAACAGAATCTCGGACAAAGAGGCTTGGCGACCGAAGCTATTATTCAAATATGTTAGCTATTGTTCGCGAGTCTAGGATTAGCATGTATTTTGACAACATATCGATATTCATGTCGCGAATAATGTGACGACTCATTGCCTTTAACTGGAGGCTCATCAGCATCGACGCGGACCAATGAGAAGACCGCGAAGACTATTCGAAAAGGGAGATTTAAGAGCAGCCACGAGAATTTCTACTGAGTGGTCACCTTTATCGCATTCCTTTCCCCGCATCGCGGTAGCTTCTGTTCTCGGCGATTTTTGCGACCAATTCTCCGTTTCGCTTACGGTTTAGCTTATCGTGAGGAGGCGGAAATCTAAAGATTCGACTAAGAAAGAATTTCCCGTGAAATATGTCAAGCGCTTCGAAAATATAATTACGAAGAAGAAAGACTCCGATTTTCACCTGCGCGATACGCAGTGTAATGCACTTCGCAGTTCAATGCAAATCGACGAAACTGGATTATTCGGTAATCAGCGGTGAGCGATTCGAGAATGTTACTGGTCTAACTGGTATTTGCTGGCATTTTCTTCGTTGAATCGCGAATCGCTGACGGAGAGTCCGCGAGCGGCCAGCGGCGGCAGTGGCGGCGGCGGCGGCGGCGGCGGCGGCGGCGGCGTCGCGGATAAATCCCTCGGCAAACCGCACGACGGCGATGAAAGCTACGGGAAATTACAAAAGTCGGAAGCGGAAACGGAGGAAGGACGAGCTTTTAATATCGCCGGGCGTCATTCTGGCTTCAGATCCTCGCGACTGCCTGTGACCGATTCGATTTTCCGTTTCGCGCTCGTCTCGCGATTCTTTCCGCCTTCGTGAGGACTTGCGACGACTTGTTCGGTAAGTCACGATTCTAGTCTGTGGCGATCTGTGGCTGAGACAACGCATTTCTCAGCACTATACGAAACTCGCGAATACGTTCGTTCGCCCATTAGATTTCGTTTGATTTTGTTTGATTTGACGCAACGGGGAGACGGAAGAATTTTCTTAGAAAGACGAGGAGAGAGAGAGAGAGAGAGAGAGAGAGAGAGGAACTGGAGAAATTACGTCTTGTTTCTCTCGTCATTGGAAGTCGCCGTACAAACTGAGCAAAGTTACGTTTCATCACGTCAAATTGCGTGGATCGATTGGTCCCTTCGTACGATTCAGTTTACGTGCATTATTAATTGTTGGAACCCGATTACCCAACACTTGACCAAAGATATCTATTTGTTTGCAAGGGGATTGACATTTTATGGCCATTTTTAGAAATCTCAAGAGGAGATAAGATTTATTTTTTTAAATTTATTCAATTTATTTTTAATAAAGTATATTTTCTTAAATTTTTTCCTTGATATTTTCCCTACAGTATGATGTATCACGGGCTGAACCGTGGGCATGTAGACACGGCTCTCGGCACGTTTGATCATTTTATATTCGATTATGAATGTTCCAAGGTCGGACATTTCTTGAGTTTACTCACATCGCCGGCGATGCGTGACGACGTGAACACGAACGGATACATTGGATCCTTGCGCCGAGTAAGAGTGGGATTCTGTGTTTTCCGAAATGAGATTAGCCGCTACTTACGGACACGCGACATTCGCCCTTATCTCCATATTTCCTTCGCTTCGTATGTCTAGATGAGAACGTAAACCTTGAGAAATTATCGCGACTCTCAATAATGCACGAAGGAGGGAGGGAGGGAGGGAGGTTCAACGATAAATTTTTGCTTACGTCAATATAAAAGTATGTTACGTTTGCGCAAATGCATTTGAGCCAATAAGAAGTCAGCCCGCTGCTCGGAATTCTCCCGTTAAATGTATCTTGTTTTCACTTAACACTTTTGATGGCCATTGTCACGTGTACGTGACCACACTCCGTCAGCGATTATCGGCCCGCGCCACGTGCTTCCGCGAAACACGCGATCGTGCAAGAGCTGATATCAAGGGGACTTTATTGCGACAGAAATTGCTGATCTACCACGATGCATAAAGTTGTATAATACAAATCACGAGAAAAGAATACGAGCGTCTGCGTCAAGGAAAGGTATTAGAAATAGGCTCTATAGGCCGCCGCTCGGAATTCTCTCGCAATTTCGCATTCAAGCATTCCGACCGAACTCGGAACGAACGTTGCGGATAAGCGGTGTAATCGGGATCGAAGCTCGTCTTGAAAATCTCGTCACCGCGCGCTGGTGGAGGCGACCTGCTGACGACCGATCTGGTTCTAGGCCGTGACGGGATATCCTAACAAGCTCGACGGCCATGTGACGCGAGCGCCGATCGATGGTGAATCCGTAGAAATTAACGATGAACTCGCATCGCGAATTTGCGCGCTAGGTCAACGTCGTTCGCTCGCTCGCTCGCTCGCTCGCTCGCTCGCTCGCTCTCTCGTGATCGGCGCGTCAGCGCGGCTCCAGCGCGCTCAGAACCTCGTCGTGAGCGACGGATTCCCTTCGCCGTCGTCCTCTCCGTGAGCAAAAGGAATTTATACGCACCGCGTCCGGATCTCCCTGCGATCTCTCGGCGTCGACTCCTGACGACTCCTGAGTCGTCACATGCTACCGATCAGGTACGGCCAGTGAATCATCTTAAACACGCAGCTACGTCGAGCACTCACGTTCTAATTTGAATTACGTATTTTACATTTTTTTTTTCGTGCGCACCGCGCACGAGGAAAGCGCCCGTGGTGTTTACGTATTATGCGCGCCATTGTTTTCAAAGTGTGGTAATATCTTTTTCAAGAGATCGCATCGCATCTGACGTTTGACGATAGCAACTTTTTCCGGGAGGGAAGATTCTTTGTTTGCGCGCCGCTCGATCATTGGTTGTCAATCGATTGCGACAGAAAGACCTTCCCGCGACAGAAAGATTTCCCGCGAGCAAGGAGAATCGATATCCTGATAAAATATTGTTACGCGACTGTGCAGCGCAGCGCAGGCATCGTCTTGATGAAAATTTCGCGTGTGTTGGTGCGGCATAAAAATCATCAACTGCTAACAAGTGATAAACGTAATCACGTTTCTCGTTACAGGTAGGATGAATTTGGAGGAATATCGCAAACATGGTAAGCGAACGTATACATATATATATATATATATATATCTAAATATGATATCGCAAGCAATAAAATAGCGTGGCTAATTAGATTTACGCATTCGACCAAGTACTTTAAAGCGCGCTTTCGTCGCGCTCTGTAACTGTGTCTGAATACGAGACCTCGAGAATTTAATGTTCACGCGACAATAGTTTCAATGCCGGCGATTTTGTAATCGTGACGCAAGTGTACGTGCCAGTGCAAAACCGAGGTATCGGAGTGACGCGTTATCCGAATACGTCACGATAAAAATAAATCAGGCAATTCCGGGACAATGGTCGCGAGACGCCTGGAACGACGCCGATAAACAGGGATTACCGATAGAATTGGCAAAGCCTTCGTAGGTGCGATATTGTTTCCGATCAAGGCATCCCGATCAAGTTTACAATTTCAGTCACACGCGCGGCTTGGATTCGATCTCAATCCGTAGTCGGTCGTTCCGTCCCTTCGTTTCGGCGTGTAAGAATCGATTTGCCGGCAATATACCTGTCGTCTTGCATCACGACGTAATGATCATTCGTTTATCCATAATCGCGGCTGAGAGTTCTTTTTATTTGCCACGTTCTTTCTCCTTTGAGAAAGACACGCGTTTGCGGGAGCTGCTCTCCGGCGCGCGAGTAAATATCATAATAAAAGGGTAGTTTGAAGGGAACTGTTTGCCCTCCCCTCTGCGTGTAAGAAAGAAATACGTTCGGATAACGCGCTCTGTCGCGAAATATCGTGCAGAGAGAGAGAGAGAGAGAGAGAGAGAGAGAGAGAGAGAGAGATAGAAAGAGCGATTCCGCTTTCTAAACAACTGCAAGAAGGTGGCATCACGATATTGCGCGGAACAGAGAGCAGCCTTTGTAAAATCTCGTTCCTGCTTCAGAGCATGGAACAACCGTTCGATACTTCAAAGCATTCTTTTGTTTCTCGATTGCTTTCAATCACGGCGCTGACGAGTGCGCGAAATTTTGAGCGGAAGGGCTTCAGCAAACTTAATCCCTGCGATGTGTTTACCGGCGACTTTCAATTATATCGGGTTAGCGTTTCGCGACGTAAAGTACTGTGACGCTAAATGGATATCCCGATATGCAGTCAAGAAGGGAGAATGTTTCACGAACAATTTTTACAATCCGTCGTTTTTGCGAGTAATTAAAAAATTGACTTACCGCTTCGCCAAGGTTGAGAAAAATATTCACGGAATCGTCGCGTAAATATCCGCTACACCGACTTGCGAAGTATTAAACGCGTCCACCAATCAGAGTGCGCAAGATGCGCGGCTAGAAGAATCGCTTTGCTTGTATCGAAAAGTCAGTCGAAAAGTTCGCTTCGATTGTCCAGTAAAAGTCTAGCATTCGATTGCGTTCGATGAAAACAGATCAGTCAAACGCCGAATTAATCCGAACTGGTGATTGTACTGTAAAATTTCAAACAATTTTAATATAAATTCAATTCGTAATTATCTAATATAAAATTCGAGAAACGTAAAATTAATCGATTACTGTTAGCGATCGATCTGTTTCGAATGCGACAGAGAGTCGCAATCCGACCGGAAGATCGAACGAAACCTTCCGACTGGCGACGGAAACAGATTCGCGAGGGGGACACGCGCGAACTACGTGAACCATCATATAGTCGCTACACTCATCATATAACGTATGTGAACTATCGCGCAGGCAAAGAAATGGTGGATTACATCGCCGATTACCTGGGCAACATCCGTTCTCGGCGCGTGTACCCGGCGGTCTCGCCGGGGTACCTGAGGAACGTCCTACCGGCGTCGGCACCGGTGGACGGCGAGCCTTGGGAGGATATATTCGCCGACATCGAGAGATGCATCATGCCGGGTGTGACGCATTGGCAGAGCCCGCACATGCACGCCTATTTCCCGGCTCTGAATTCACCCGCCAGTCTGCTGGGCGACATGCTGGCCGACGCCATAAACTGTCTGGGCTTCACGTGGGTGAGCATGCAGCCGTCGCGCGGACGGCATTGTATTGGGTTGGCAACTAAGTGATTGCGGATTTTAAATAAGAATGAAAATTCAAAATTTTTAATTTGCTTTTTTAAATCTTTTTCAATGTATGTATGCGATACATTGAGCTTCTCTGCAATATCACGTGTTGTGCTATGACGATCTGAATCGATAATGGCCTTGATATGGGTCTCATCGACTTCAACTGGACGGTCAGATCGTTGAGCATTTTTCCATGAAAAATCACCAGAACGAAATCTGACAAACCAATTTTGACACTGCCTTTCTTTCAAGGCTTCATTCCCATACACGGCACATAACTTCTTGTGTGCTTGCGATGCGTTCTTGCCTTTTCGGAAATAATACAATAAAATATGTCTGAAGTGCACGTCTTGCTCTTCCATTTTTAAATTGGGATAAAAACAAAACTAAAGAACTAATCGATATAATTTTTGTACTAAATGAAAGGTAGAAGTCCAAACAATAAGAAAAAAATATAGGTTAGGTACTTTGAACACGTTAACGAAACAAAAGAAAGTGTAAAATCCATCTGTCGACAAAATCCGCAATTACTTACAACTTAGTTGCCAACCCAATATTTCGGTTTTTTCACATACGTCCCGACACGCTTAACGCACGCGCAAGAAAAACAGTGCCGTTAGTGTAACTGAATTGTCCGTCGCCTGCGAAGAACAGCCGAGCTCGAAACATGGGAAATTCGATTGCAAGAGCAGAGAGGTTCCTACGGCGGCTTTCTGATCAATCGGATCTGGCCACGAGCTGAACGATGAATTCGTCGAATGAGTTTCTTGGAAAATGTCATTTCTCATCGTGGAATTTGCGTCTGATTTTTGTACAATTACATAAGATTGTTTTTCCATGCATTTTGAACTGACCGTTACATCATGACTCAAATAATGTTACGATACCATTACATCATGGCACAAATAACGTTTGTACGATACTTGTCGGATTTTTCTGAATCTATGAAGCCGTTCATTAATACTCTCAGGTAACAATAAAGAGCAATTTTCATGAGATTAAACATCGCCTTGTGAGATTGCGGAATCGATATGCGAGTGAGGAATATTTCATCCGCATTATGACTCATGTAAAATTTCTGCCTTATTCACATGTTGTTTTTGTTATTATCGTTGCTTTATGTAACAGATGTTTACGTAACAGATATATTCAGGCGTGAAGAAGGCGTGAAGATAGGATCGGTTTGAATGCGATGTACCGAATCTGATGACGACTCCAGCATGAGAGGCATTGACGCGCGATCGAGATATAAATAAAGATCAATCGTGCGACATATTTTTTGTTCAATTCACGAGAAGACTCGTAGAAGTCATTTTCCACGGCACTAATGTCTTCCGATAATTCGCTGAATAACAGAGGCGACTTACTAAATCGATACTCGAAGAGACTCGAATTTTAGTGTCCTGAACCCGCAAAACCGCTTGGAGGAGTCGGTTTCGCCGGCAGAGCGCCATTTTGAATCCCACATTACCGTTTACACAGGCTTCCAGTCCCGCGTGCACCGAATTGGAGACGATCGTTATGAATTGGCTCGGCAAGATGATCGGTCTGCCCGAGGATTTCTTGCACCGACCGGGCGGCTCCGGCGGCGGTGGCGTTATTCAAACAACAGCGTCGGAAGCCACGCTGGTGTGTTTGCTCGCGGCCAGGACCAGGGCGATCAGGGATGTGCAAGAAAACGATCCGGAGCGCATGGCGACCGAGATCAACTCGCGGCTCGTCGCCTATTGCTCAGATCAGGTTCGTAGTCACTGCGGCGATTTTTTCTTCTCGCGAGAGAGTGCGAGCGCTCGTGATACTTCATTTAAATTCCATTCGAAAATATGCGACGGCTGGGAGCAATCAAACGGGAAAACAGAGAAGAAATAATTAACGTTGATAGGCGTTGGTGCGATAAATAATGCATATGTCGCGGCGAACGGAAACTTCCAGCTGGGGAACTCCCCGGAGAACTTTTTACAGCGCGCTTAGACGCTGGATAAACGCCGATAAATGGTGCGATATTTATTCGCACTGGGACTGGGACGAGTCTGCTTGAATATCAGAAGGTTTTCTCGCGAGTGTCCTGGGATGGGCGGTGGGACGAGGGAGATTAAGAAGCGCGTTTGTCTCATCTCACGATCTTGCGGAGGAGGAGACGTGTTGAAAAGTGTGCGTTGTAATTTCGGAATTGAAATTCTTGGAGAAATCGGGACGAAGTCGAAGAAACACCGAATCTCGAAGCGCGAGAGAAAGATCTTAACTCCGAAAATGTGTTTTCAATTTTAATATTCATTTTAATACTTCAACATCCTCGCCTGTGATTATGCGTTGCTTTTGTTATCGTCGTCATTTGCATAACAGGCACATTCAAGCGTGGAGAAGGCTGGACTCATAGGACTGGTTCGAATGCGATACATCGAGTCCGACGACGATTTAAGCATGAGGGGCGAGGCTTTACTCGAGGCATTGACTCGCGATCGAGCAGAGGGCCTTCTTCCCTTCTTCGTAAGTTTCGATTTACCTCATGTATTTTTCCCCGATACTTTTGCTTTATCTGCGCACAAATGATTTCTCGGCTACATTCAACGTTGGCCTCACGTTTGTGTGACCGAAATTGTCGTCTTTCTCATCAAACTGCTTTCGTAAGGAATATGGCTGCTTCTTACACATCTTTTCGCGGTCATTATTAATAATTCTCTTATATTGTCCATTTGTTAGGTTCGCAGCAGTACAGTTGTGTAGAGAATATGGTGGTTTTAATAACGTCATAGGGATTAAATCCACTATGGTGGTTACTAAGGGTGCCGCATAAGCCAGTGGTTCAAGTATACGCGTAGACCGACTAGTCCGCCAATTACAGACGTATTCCCTGCAAGTAGAAAGAGACGAAGCGGGTTCGGCGAGCCAAGTCGGATTGGCGTCGCGCTAGTTGGTCCCGCAGGAACTTTCTAGTCCGCTTTGTGGACTCTTGTTCGGAGCGAAACATTTTTATTTTTGATGTTTGTTAACGCGATCGCCAATTATGCGTTCCGGCAAGATTACATTGGATGTCGCGTTCAAAAACCGACTTTTTTTGGACGTAGTTAATTATGCGCAACTGTTATTTTGTCCGAAGGATTAGATCTTGTTCTCGGGAAGAGGCAAAGAAATTTAGTTTTCACGGACGATCATAGATAAATGATTGGTTATTATATCGAATACGATTTTGATATATCGTACTTAAAAATTCGCTGTATCATTCCCTCGAGTGGATTAAATTACACATTTGTCATTAAATATATATATATATATATAATTCAACTAAATATACGTGAATTGTTATGTTACATTAAACACAATTAATATTATTTCGTTAATAATTTTGAAAAATATATTTGGATTTACTGCAATGGATTTTGATTTCTTAGCCTTATACCGACGACGAAAAATGAAGCGATCGTTCGTCAATTAATTTAATTGTTTAAACAAAAACACTTTTCCCCCGGATAATGCATAGGACACGATCCTGTTATTTGTGCAGGTGTGTGCAACGCTAGGCACCACTGGTGCGTGTTCCTTCGATAATCTCAAAGAAATCGCACCGATATGTAAGTGTATAAAATTTATTACAAACCGGATGACCGAATATTATCGAGTTGCACTTTAACGTTAAGTAATTTTTTCTACGAACTTTTTTCGAAGCCTTGCGACAGCTCAAAAATATTTCGTGCCATTCCTCGCAGGTCAAAAGAACGGTTTATGGCTGCACATCGACGCGGCGTACGCAGGCAGTGCGTTCGTATGCCCCGAATTTCGCGGTTGGCTTCAAGGAGTGGAGCTCGCGGACTCCATCGCCTTCAATCCCAGCAAGTGGCTCATGGTCCATTTCGATTGCACAGCTATGTGGTACGAGCACAATGTCACGACAAAGTCATAAGTTACAAACAAGAATCGATAGCTTTCTCGATTATCTCAGCATGAACGACGATCGGTGTAATTAATATATCGCATTTCCTCGTGATTCTTGCTAAAATATAATAAACGGTTATAAATTAATCAGACGTGGCTGACTCTCTTTTGAATCGCGCGTCCGTCTCGTAAGCGAACAACTATTGTTCCACAATTTTCGTTTCATTGGCTGAACCGCGGACGCACAGCGGCCACCTTTTTCCGTTCCTTCCGCAATTTCCGCTTTAAAGGCCGTTCCAACGATTGAACGCGATTCCCAATCTTTCGGAATATTATTTGAATTGCTTTTAAAGTCGATAGCACCGAGTAAAATCTGATAAGTCAACGAGATCGCAAGATCGTGTCAATTGTAAAAAAATTGCACGGGGATAGTTTAAAATAAATATTCGAAGCAACTTTCCTCGAATAATTCTCGTTTCTGTAAATAACGCGCGCGAATTTGGTAAAACGCGCGGTGAGAAATGCAGCGGTAAAGCGATTCGGAAAATCAGCTTGAGAAGAGCACATTTCCTTGTGCTTATCGAACGATACGTAATGAAACATGTATAAATAACCGAAGAAGAGTTCGGGTATTAATTTCTTCTCCGCTCGCGCGGTCTGTTTCAGGGTGAAAAATAGCCAAGCGCTGCACAGGACCTTTAATGTAGATCCGCTGTACTTGAAGCATGAAAATTCAGGTAATCTTGCAATTTAATTTTTACCTCTGATAAAGAAATTAGTTTCTTCCTTACGAATATTGCGTTACTTATCGATGTATACAGGTGAAAATGCAATTTTGTTAAGAGACTTTTATTTCTGCACAGGTCTCGCGATCGATTATATGGTAAGCAGCAACGCCTTTTAACTGCGTCTTGCAATAACGTGTCGTAAGATAAAAAAGTAATTGGTCTGGAGTAAGATTTGCTCCAGAGTCTGGAGTAGAAGGATAAAATAATACAGTTTTTATAAGTATCCGTAAGATTTTTTAACAGATTTCTTTTCACGTTATGCAATTAAGTATTCAAATCGAATGTGATGTCCGTTCCGTAATAATCCCATCTCGATAATAATTTTAGCATTGGCAAATCCCGCTGTCTAAGAGATTCAGGGCGCTGAAACTGTGGTTCGTCATCAGAAATTACGGAATTACTGGTTTGCAAAAGCATATCCGTGAGGTAAGCGGCAAATTAGTCAGCCAAATTAGTCCGAGTCTATTTGACAACGAAAGAAAGAAAGGTCTGGGATATTAAACCGGACTTGATTGTTTTTCTATTCCTCGCACGACTAAAATATGCAATTCGAAACGTATGTTTGCAGGGCGTGAGACTAGCGCAAAAATTCGAAGCTCTGGTCTTGGCCGACGCACGCTTCGAAATCCCCGCAGCTCGGCACCTCGGCATGGTAGTTTTCCGTCTTCGAGGCGAGAATACTTTAACGGAGCGCTTGCTAAAGAAGCTTAATTCACGGGGTCGGCTTCATTGCGTGCCAGCCGCTTTGCATGGAAAATACGTCATTAGATTCACGGTTACTTCTACGAAGTACGTCTACCTGTCGACATTCATCTGGTCATATTTCTTTATCGCATTATAGATCTGCGCTCATAAATATTCTCGTAAATTAGATTTTAACGGAACATGCACGCGCGCGCGCGCTGAGAGACTATATTGCAATCACTCGGCAGGGCCGAGACGAAAATGTAGCTATTGAAAATTGATCGATTGTTGAACGATTGTCGCGATGATGGATTTAAATATGGCGGAGCTTTAGCTTCGAACTTTATTCGTCGTTCTTTTTACGACTGCAATTAGAACAACCGTGTTGCATGTTATTAGATTAGAAGTGTCGCAGCGCATTTATTGGATTTTGCAATCGTGCTTCTTCCAGCACGACGAACGAGGACATACTGAGGGATTGGGCGGAGATACGAAATATCGCGAGTGAGATGTTGGGTGATAGTTCCGGATCACCTGTACGGCCAAGAGTTCCCCTTGCAGGTAATAACGAGGCGGGACTCAGACAGCTTCAAACTGCTTGACAACTCATAATGACCTATAGAGACTTAAATTATTCTCTCCGGGAAAGACATCCATTTTAGACGAGATAAATTGCAGGTGGTACATGTAAACGTCAAGTCGTAAATCAGTCATCACGAAAATGTCAAATTTCATCGAGCCGACAAATTTCTCGCGCCATCTTTACTTCTATTTTGTATATATTAGTTTTATATATGCGTGACTAGCGATAAATTGAAATTATCTACGGGAATATCCGCGGAAATAGGTAATTGATAAAAATTAAATTGAAGACGTTCTCTCTCGTTTATGAAAAATACACAAAGCTAATGTTTTATTACTCGAGGAGGCAAAAATGTCCGATTCGCGTGAAATACACATTTTTGCTACGTATTAGGTGTACAACTTTGCTTCCGCCGTTTCCCTATAGATGGCTTTAGCGGTAAGTAGTGGTCGAAATAAATAGATCATAGACGTCATGCAATAAACTTGGGCATCTGTCAACATAACCCCATAGAAACACTAGTCGATTTGTGTCTGCATCATAAAGTTATTCTCGATTGAAAATGTCAGTTTACTAGCCAAATTCTCGTCATTTGCGGGAGGTTTTAATTTTCTGCTTAAATATGAAGAAATCTGCGGCTGCGGCTCATCGAATGCTCTCAAATACTTATGGCGAGGCCGCTATTAATGAAAGAACGTGTCGTGAGTGGTTGCAACGCTTCAAGAACGGTGATTTTCACGTCAAAGACCGGCGGTGGGAGAGAGAGAAGGTTTTCGAAGATGCACAATTGGAGGCATTACTTAATGAAAACTCGTGTCAAAGTCAAGAAGAATTGGCACGATCATTGGGAGTGACTCAACAAGCAATTTCAAAACGCCTCAAAGACATGGGAATGATTCAGAAGCAAGGAAATTGGGTGCTGTACCGAGTTGAAACCGAGAGATGTTGAACGGCGTTTGTTTGCTTGTGAACAGTTGCTTGAAAGGCAAAGACGGAAGGGATTTCTGCATTGTGACTGGGGACGAAAAATGGGTTCATTACGATAACCCCAGGCGCAGAAAATCATGGGCATGCTTCCACGTCGACGGCCAAACTGAATATTCACGGCTCCAAGGTCATGCTCTGTATTTCGTGGGACCAGCTCAGCGTAGTGTATTATGAGCTGTTAAAACCGACTGAAACAATCACAGGCGATCGTTATCGAACGCAATTAATGCGTTTGAGCCGAGCATTGACAGACAAACGGCCGCGATACAACGAGAGACACGATAAAGTGATTTTGTAGCATGACAATGCTCGACCCCCCCCCCATGTTGCGAAAGTGGTCAAGATATACTTGGAAACGTTGAAATGGGAAATCCTACCCCACCCGTTCTCCAGACGTTGCTCCTTCTGACTATCACTTGTTTCGATCAATGGCACACGGCCTGGTTGACCAGCACTTCCGGTCTTATGAAGAAGTAAGAAATTGAATTCGTGGATTCGTACGTTGCCCGAAAAATGGGAGAAAATAGTGGCCAGCGATGGACAATACTTTGAATCATAAATGTATAACCAGTTTTTTACAATAGCCTCGAATTTCGGAAGAGAAAACGGCGGAAGCAAAGTTGTACACCTAATACAATACACGCAATCGTATAAACATTTTTCAATTTATATCAATTAGCGAAAGACTTGCAATATTAATGGCACGTAAGAAAGAGAATTTCTTTTTTCTTACATTGTTTATTTACATTTTGATGCAAAGATAATAAGATTTGCCAGTTGCTAGTCTTTTTTGTTGAAATTTTATGTTTATGTCGAATTATTTTTCCGACGTAATATTATTGTTTTAAGTTGTTGGACATATTGATTCGTATTTATTATTTCTATTAAGTTATATTTGATGATGTTGTTAATAAATATTTCTCCCCCTTTTCCATGTTGCTTTTTATCCTTTTGTTATTACGCACACGTTATTATGCACTATTCGGAGGTGAGTTGCACAAACGATTCTATCCTACTGCCGAATTGGGGCATGTCGGAATAAACGTTCCACCCGCGATAATGTCGTCGCGTGTACTCTCAATAGTGGCATGTAAAAGCGATTTCGGCGGTTCGCAGATACGCGACAGAAGAACGAAAATTTCGGATCGAGCTTGCTACTGGCAAATTCGCCGATGTCGCCGAAAATCGTGAACGGCAGTTTCGCCGCTATTTACGACGCGGCCGAGGTGTTCGAGGAGTGCATGAAAACTTTTGGGAAAATTCATCTCGAGGCGAGAGACAGCCCGGGTGAGTGGTGCTGTAGAGTAGATCTGTTGGTATTATACAGAAACGTTAGATAAATATTCGTCGAGTAGAGCTAGCGTATTCAGTAGGTTCCCGAATGCGTCTTCGTTCAGTGTTCAACTCCTAAGGCGGAGGAGAGCGAAAAGTTTACTCGCACGACTATCTCTGCGATTAACATGCCGACTCACGTGTCGCCTGTGTTATTTCAGCCATGCGTCGTCGCATTCGCGGTATACTAATGTCGGGCAAGCAATTCTCTTTGGACTCTCGTATGGATCTCGTTCAGGTACGCCCCAAAAATCGCCCGCCCTTCCGATATTTGCCATTTACTTTAGCTTTATTCGCGCAACGTGAGAATATTACACTCAACGATATGTAACTGTATATATTTCTCTTAGGGATACGTTTGTAGCCGTCCACTGTCGGACCCCCCTTCCGAGTTACCGTTAATGAAGGAGGATGAAGATTACGCCGGGACGTATGAGTCAACGTCCGACATTGATAAAACGGATGATTTCGATAACGGTGCGTATGCACCTGTTCGTTCACCTCAGTCAGATTTGACGTTGTCCCGTGCAAAGGAAAGTTAAGTAATTTTTGTCATCTCCTGATTTGCAATTTTTCGCCAATGTTCTGGCAGTGGAACATTACACGTGCGTGTCGACATCTTCCGTTCAAAATTGAACGAAACTTTTTGTCCGTCCTGATAGATTAAGAAAAAGAAAAATAATTGGATAAGCGAAATAAGTGGGATGTAATGCGAAGTGAAACACGATTATTACAGACGAGTCGTTTGCTCATGAGAATCTGGAGGAGTCTGACAACTCCGAAGCTATCAAGAGGAAGCCATCCATTTCGAAGACTGGCGCTACTAGTTACTCAGTGGTGAACGGATCGATCGTCAATGTGGACGTCAATGCGGAAAACAACAGCGACAACGCGATAGCCATCGCTGCTGCCGACATAGGCATCCCCAGAAGCGAAACTATAGCCGCTATTGGCCATCGGCCTTATACGGGCGATCTGGATTTCATTCGGATTTCCAAGGAGAATTCGATGAAATGCAGGGAGAAGGAAGGGCAGGACGACAATGGGGAATTTTGTCGAAAGTGCGGTCACTACTCTAAACGTCAGTAATAATGAGCACCGCGTGTACGCTCCTCATACATTGACCGTACTCGATGGATCGTCACTTTCACACTCGTGAGAATCCGATGATCCGAAATAATAGTTTTCGCGATTAGACGTTGGTTCGCATATTAACCGCGAATTATAAAATAAATGCGTATGCTTCGTTACGTTGCCTCGCCCTGGACGATTCCTTCGAGAGAGGTCGCGGATAATGAGGAATCGTAGGGAACAGAGTAACTTTCTCTCGCAGGAATCTTTCAGTCGACCTCAAGGAACGTCTACGACAATGCTTCTCTCAATCATTCTCGATTGACGATTGAATGTTCTTAAGCAAACGAAGAAGTTGACGAAAAGATCTCACATGCAAGTAGATGCATATAGTTTTATTATGTTGGTGATGTTAATTTTATTTTATCGTGTATAATTGAACTTTTTATTCCTAAAGTTACTACGCATATAGTTATAGAAATTAGAACGTTGACTTTTAGCGCGAATATATATATATATATATATAAAAAGAAAATATGTAAGGAGCGATGCCTGAGAAAGTAATTGATACGTTCATAAGTGATTGTTTCGTTTTCAACGTTCTCGCACGATCTCCGTTATTCGTTGGAAACATGTAGTGGTCGCCATGACGGAGGCGTAGAATGCAACATTTGCAGCAAACGTATAAAATCGAATAAATGCACAACATGACAAAATACTTGGCTGTGTGTTTCAATTATCTTGTACCATCCCGCATATGCTTTGAAATCTTGCACAATGTGAATATATCGCATACATCCTATACGAATGTAAGAATTTTTCAGAATCTTTACAAAAATTTACAAATAAAATTAATCCGACAGATTGATGATTTATGAAACAAAGGCGAGGAAATCTATTTTCTTCTTGGCGGAGGGAAAACCAATCGAATGTATACAGAACGTGAAAATTACTTGCAACATTTATTTATTGATCATTTTTACATATATAAATCAGAAAAAAAATTCAGTCTAATCACTTCATTTCATAAATTTCATACACGTTTACACTTACTTCATTTCTCTCTTTATTTTACTAATCTTCAATTAAATCTTATTAACAATTATTTGATCACGATTTGCATCACGATAAAATTTTGGAGCGTTTGATATGACAAATACATATATATTTGATTTCGCATCTGCTGTATCACCGATAAAGTGTAAATTTCGTAAAATTTCTTTGATCGCGTATATTGCATGATCAATATAATAACCCTGTACAAAACATTTACATGAATCCGTGGATTTGATGTAATTGGTATCATCTCATCGAGGAAACTTGGAATTTATAATTGGGATTTATTCAACATGTTTTAATTAGCTTAATTTAGTACATTATCCTAAGGCTTGTTATAAAACGGGATCGATTTACGCGTCGTTTTAAAATTATTTTCAGACTGATCGAACTTAGATTGACAATCAGTGGTATTTAGCGTTATCAAAGTGATATTAAAAGTCGGCATTGCGAATATATTCATACTTAAAGAAATCGTTGATAATCGTGATTGAGATAAAGAGAACATTTAAATGCTTTAATGTGCAGCATAAATCCATACGAGACTTATCATTGAGCTTTTCGATAAGCGCATTGTTGTTTCATTAAGAAATATATTTACGTTAATCAAAGCAAGGTGGATAAAATACGTTTAGACAAATATATCTTCCCCTTTGTCAGCTCGTCGAGCACAGATCGAGATGAGAGTACGATCGACGGGAATTTAATCGATACTTGACGGAAATTCATAAAAGTGGACTGAACTCTGCCGAGATGTGTACAGTAAAATACGTTAATTATATTAACGATACTAAGAACGACGTGCTTTACGTCGTTATTTACATTCCATCGACGCAGGCGATAGCAAAAATATATTCAACTGTTCACACTGTTTACGCATCGCCTTTATATGCTTAAACTTACAAATAAGACTAACATTAACAGAGCGCGTTGCGACACATCATAATAAAACGAAAGAGATACACCTATCTCTCGATCATCTAATATATACAATATTAATCATACAATTGCTCATATATTCATATAGAAATACAATATATATGAATGGCAAGTTAAACATATCCCGGTGAGGGATTTTCTAATCCTTTAACCGTGACATCTTGACGTTACTTCTCTCTCGATCTACGTATACATAACAGTGTCTCTCCCTTTTTCCCCGCAATGATTTCGTCGCAAAAACTGAAAACGCAAGATTTTCGACGTTGATCAGAAACTGATTCGCCGGTTAAAGGATCGTGATATCTGTCTCTTACATCTAAACTCGTCCTTGCGTCGATGTCTTCACTAAGCTAAAGTAATCCATATCGCAGATAGGCTGTTTTAATAACTACACGTGGATACTTTTCGGCTGCGAGGCCAGGCTTGGTATCGATTATTATCATTAGCGTGGATTCGATATATCGACATTGCTGGTATCTCAGATGCGACTCGGGCGTGAAGCGAGGAACGTGCTCCGTTTGTTTTGCACTCTCTGGACAGTCACATTGATTACATTGTCTTTGACGATTAAATTCTTCATTAATTAATTTCTACGGACATTTCATGAGATTTGATGTACGTGCGTTTTGAGAAACATTCTGTCTATTTTTTGCTTAAGACAACGACTTCAATTTGAAGATTAAAAAATCGGTATGATTTTACAGATGTAAACTTTTAAAATAGTGATGCAATCGATAATATCCTTTCTCTCTGTTCTTAACAACGACGATAACTTTCTTTCTGTCTGAACATACATTTGTGGAAACGAGATAAAAAGCATCTTTTTGGTCTTCTTTTACCTTTTTTAAAGAGTCATCTTCCTAAATGTAAATCTCAAGCCATCTGAAATATTTCCTAAAAGACCGAGGAACCCACGTTTATCGCACGGTGCAATTTCACGGGAGCAGTTTCCCCGATCGCACGACGAGCGCTCACGTCCGACGTGAGAGCGTAGCGCGCTAGATCAGTTGGATCACGAAGGACGAAACAGCAGCGGGAACAGCGAAGGAAACAAACGTGTACAGATAGCCTCGCAGCCGCGCGTGCGACAATGAACAAATGACGCGACACGAGCCGCATGGCTTGCCAGAGAAACGCCGGTTTGCTCGCTGTCGGTTAAGCAAGCACCGAAGTTTGTTTGGCAAGAGGCTCCGCTTCGAAAGCCTCTCTGTGAGGACATGAGCGTTCAGCCTGGTCGTGCCAGCCACGAGCGACGCGGTCGTATTCAGCAGAGGATCGCTACGGGATTGCGCGGCCGCCACCGTCGCTCATGAATTGCGACCGAATCGGCGTCCGTATATCGCCAATTTGCGAAGACAATTTTCCCTGCCCGCGCTGCGCGCGATATATTTTTGCTCGCGAGGAAGCGTGTGACTCGCGTTCCGTGAAATTCAACGGGATTCATCACGGTCGAATCATCGATCGGTCGAAAGAGCGAGATTCCATGGGCGAGCTAGCCGAAATTTGAGCTAGCTCGAATCCAAGCGTTGAGATTCAAGCGGAACTTTTCACGAAACGCGATTATCGGCACACACGCCTCGGATTCGAGCAGCGCGAGTCCCTTCGAGTGGCTTCCTCTGCTGGATAGTCGAGATCTGTTCCGTCCGTGTTCGACTTGTACGACTTGTGAGACGAGTGACGACGAGATTAGCGAGCAGCCGAGCACGGTTTTTACGAGAGAGGCGGGACAGGCTCGTTAATTTGCGGCACGATCGAAGCTGAAGGCCCACGTTGTGCTTTGCTTTTCGTTTGTCTTTGCGTTGCATTCGTCGGGGTGGAAGGTATCGTGGGTGGTTCGTGTAGTTGTCATAGTTGTTATCATAACTGTTATCATTGTTAGTGTTTGTTGTTACTGTTGTTGTTACTGTTATTGTGGTGGACGAGCCACCAGTGGAAAGGAACAACGGGTCGATTTTGGGTCCAGATCGTCGGGATGGATGCACACGAATATACACGCGACTTTGAGTGCTCTGAGGATTCATGGAGCTTTCACTTTGCCAGCTTAGCTGAAGTATAAACATTTTAAATCGTGAGGTTTGAGAAACGCGTTGAATCAAGAAGAGAGACCGCGTTCGCTTTCGACCAGTGACTCCGTGTGTGATTGGGATACTCGTTCACACGAAAGAATAATAACGACAGAGTCATGCAGTGACATGCAAGGTGTTGCTGCACGGCTGTTCGAAAGTCGAGCGAGGGAAACTGTTCGACGGAAATCCGCGTCGACGTCTAAAGTATACATGTACACTGTACTTTTATAGCGCTAAGTGAGAGAAGTTTACCCGCCCGCAGCGTGTACGAGGAATGCGCGCGACAAGTGTGTGTTAATAATGCGAGTAATGTAATGCGCGAGTAGTGCAATTGTTAGGCAATCGAGAAGTTCGGATCCGCGTGATCAACGTGAGATCTTTCCGCGACGACTTTCCGCAAACCGTGCAGCCTCGTGAACGCTACGATCCATGCATTCCACTTCACTTTCTTCTACGTGTGTGACTTGAATCTCTTCTAAGTGCCTGAAAACTCCGTCACTATGGTGGCCTACACTCTCAAGTGCGCGCGCGTTTCCAGAAGGTCTTTTTCACGATTTTAGCTGCCAGGGAGCTTTGATTCGGTTTCTCTTGATTCACACAGTCTCTCGAAAGACTTGCGATTTCTCTCTCTCTCTCTCTCTCTCTCTCTCTCTCTCTCTCTCTCTCTATTTCTCAAAAAGTCTAATGGACCTTAGAGTCTTACAGCTCTCTGATTCCGTGATCTTCGGATCCCTCAATCGCTTCTCGAGAGAATCTCTCACACTCGTATGTTATCTTATTAAGTTTTTGAAATTTTAGAATCTTTGGAACTCGCTCCGTCTCGGGCACTTTTAAGCAGACCACGGCCTGCAGTCGGAAAATTTGAAATTTCTCCCGACTGCTTCAGAACTCCCGGGTACTTTCGCAGTCCGAATATTATCGTCCAATTTCTACACGTACACGAGCTACAAGTACTCTAAGATACTTTTCTTTTGAACAAAGTAATTCCGTTTGCATCGTGGCATCTGTCTGTTTCGGAAAACACGCGCACACGTGGTTCAGGCAACTCCCGGGAACTAGAGAAGGTCATCCTCGCTGCTCGCCGGCCGGCTCTCACTGTATCTGATGGTGCTGTCTGTCTTGAATGTACACATGCTGCAACCCATGCCTTCTAAGATAGGACGTTTCTCTATCGTACAAGCTCGCCTTCTATCGTGGTCTCGATTGCCTCTCCCGTCTTTTCGAGTATGACGATGTCTTGTTGGAATGGCGAGCGGGCAAAGTAAGTGTCTACGAGGGAGTTGTATCGAAGAAGAGTGAAGAGATAGAATGAAAGAAGAGTGCAGAGATGACGAATCAGACTGTGCGACAGAAGGAAGAAGAGGCAAACAGAGAGAGAGAGAGAGAGAGAGAGAGAGAGAGAGAGAGAGAGAGAGAGAGAGAGAGAGATTGTGTGAAAAATAGAGAGAGAGAGAGAGAGAGAGAGAGTCGTGATCGGGTAGAATCGAGAAAGCATTTCGTTAAATTAACTGGATTGCGCAATGAATGTACGCCGACCGTCGTTCTGATGTCTTCGTATAGCTATTCGAAGACTATGAAGAACAGTTCATCGGAGCTCTGCTTGAAAACCATTGTGTGAAGCACATTGTGTGAATGCGTTTTGCTACAGACACCATTGCAAGAGAGTGACTCTTATCACACACATACATACACATGAAGCGACATGTACGAGTGCAAAAATATGATTCCGAGAGATTTTCATTCTGACATCGCTTGGAATTCGACTCACGTCGTGGAGTGACGTCGTCACCTTCGGCGACTTTTTTTCTTTTTTCTAAGCAAGTAGAAGTACTATCTGAATGTGCTCTCGAAATATATTAACAGAACCTTCGCGATTGTCTCGTCACTTGTGTAAGACTCGACCTGAGAACTCAAGTGCTTCTTGAAAATTGTCATGTGCGAATGCAGTTGCCATCGTCCGTCACGGTCGGAGGTCATACCTCGCGCAATTCACTGTGCTTTTCAACAGACCCTCGCGTCGAACGAAACTCGACCAGTCGCGTCGAACATTGTCGCATTAGAATGAGAGAAACAAAGTTGTAGTGAGGTGCATCGTTGTGAGAAAAAAGATAGAGTATCCACATTGTTTTTCCTCCCTCTGTCGTACTATTAGGATAAAATGGTCAAACATCGCGAACATCGCGATGTTCCCAGACGACAGTCGAGTACATGCAACGACAACGCCGAGGAAGGAAGCCTGCTTGATCGCCGAATCGAGTCTCTCGATTCGCGATTTCGCGCACTTTCACTTGTCGATTCAGCAAAGAGCCTCTTCTCAGCCTCGAATTAAAAATTCGACGATCACTCTTGTCAATTTGATATAATGTAATTTGATATAATTTGATAATTATTTTCTCCGTTGAGAGATCGGATACGCCGGAAACGACATGTGAACGACGTAAAATTCAGTAAAGAGACATTGCGGAATTACATAATTCCCGTGGATAATCAACACCGCAATTCATTTATCACAATATTACCGCGCTTCAAGCAATTTCTATAAAAATAGATAGAAAGAGTGTCCCTCAGCGGAACTGTATGTCGTATCGCAAACGGTCTCGTCTACCAAATGCGCGGCTTATTCTGTTTCGCGGCATACTCAACGAAATTCCTTCCTCGAGGTTTATGTCACGAATGCATTGCAACGATGGCCAGCCGTGCTTGCTCGAAGAGCAACTAACAACGAGCTCGGGCTCGGCGCCGAGATCGTCAGAGAAATCGACTGGACAGTCGGGATGATTTCTACACGAGAAACGCCTAGAGTAACTCTCGATGCTGTCTAAGGCCAGTGATCGGAACGAACGACGCACACAGACTGAGCGATTCTCACGACGGTGAGACGAGAAGACCGAATCTCGTCTCTCTCATCGACCACGAGCAAATGTATTATGTTATTACCGCGACGCGACCTCAACGACTTGCTCGAAAATCTGTAAAACGGGCGCTTCTGAACCGTAACGAGATTCAGAGTCTCCGCTCTTCTGAATACTCTCGGAAGTGTACGCAATTTTTATAATCTTCAATTTCACCTTTTCTCACAATTTAAAGCTAATGTAAGAGAGAGGAATCATGTGCATGTCGGTAGCGCGCAGTAACGAGATCCCTCATACAAGAATAAACGAACGCGATTACTATCTCGTAGGGCTCTCTACTATTCCGTGTCTATTATCTCTTACCCAACAGCCGATATATATATATATATATATATATATAGTATATATGCCGAACTCGTCTGAGCGTCCGCACATTCTCTAAGATATGCAACTTCGATAAAATATCTATATATGTCATACAAATATATCTCTTTTCTACGCGATTCGCGACGACCGATACCGGTAACGCGCGCATCGCGAAAATCAATGATAACAATATAATGTGACTGGTCGATCGTCCCCGGATACTTTCATACGTGTGTGTCTCGGACTCTCGACCGTTCCTCTCGTTTACCTCTCTCTAACGGGGGAATCTAGCCCCTCTAGGGATCGAAGCCAGCTCGATCGTTCGTTCCGACGAGTGGTCGTGTTGTCGACTCGCTAGAATCTCTACGAAGGATATGATTGGACGCCACTGCGATGGGTGGATAGAGTTAATTGGTGTTATACGACGTGATCATTGCAACGTTCTACAAAGCAAGCTGAGGCTCCTAAGACGGCCGAGCGTAGAACAAGGATGGTCGACAGGATCAGCAGGAGTACGGGATTCGAGCGCGAGGTCGGGGGTACACGATTGCACATATCCTCCTCACAGAAGCACATGTGACCAGTGCCGGTACTTTCCATCATGCACACGTGGTCCACCATGAATAAGTTTATTTGTAGCTGCGATGTGCAGGTCCTCCTCACGCTTTCGTACGCTGCAAGCAAAGAGAAGAACAATGAGCAGCAACTGAATCCTCGCGAATCTCGACGAATTACACGAACATTTCAAACTATTAGGTGTGTGAATTAATTCGGTCCATCCATGGCCGGTCAACTGCTGTACTATGTAATTTTCTAACCTCTAATGTCTGCAAAAGGCCTTATTTTTTAGTTTTGATGTCTGGCAATAATAATATTCAGTTGATAAACGTTTGGGTTTGTAACGATAACATCGTGCTCTTCGATTCGAAAATGTCGAAACTCGAGCCAAAAAAGCATCATTTCCGGCAAGTTCTCATTTTTTGTTTTCATTTGAAGAAAACAGCCGCTGAAGCTCATCGACTGCCCGTAGAAGCTTATGGTGAAATACGGCTCCTATCGATAAATCATGCAGAGAATGGTTTCGACGTTTCAAAAGTGATGATTTCAGTGTCGATGACAAACCTCGTCCAGGTCAGCCGAAGAAGTTCGAGGACGAGGAATTGCAGGCGCTAATCAATGAAGATCCGTGAGAATCGCAACATGAGCTTTCGCAATTGTTGAATATTGATCGATCAACAATTTCTGCGTGTTTGGCAGCCGTGGGAAATATTTACAAAGAAGGAAGATGGGTGCCATACGAAAGAACTGAAAGAAAGAGACATCGAGAGCAGCGAAAAGCCATGTCTGAAATCTTGCTTGCCAGGCAAAAGAGAAGAGGTTAGGTTTTTTGCAGGTCGTATTGTGACTGGAGACGAAAAGTGGATATATTTCGATAATCCCAAACGGAGGAAATCCATTAGCGACCCAGGAAAACCATCCACATCGATACCAAAGCGGAATATTCGCGGCAAGAAAGTAATGCTCTGTATTTATGGTGAGACCAGAAGGGTGTAGTGTATCATGAACTATTAAAACAGAGCCAAACCATCACTGCCGAACTTTACCAACAACAATTGATCCGTTTAAACAACGCATTGAAGAATAAGCGGCCGGAATATGCAAAGAGACACGACAAAGTGATCTTCCAGCACGATAACGCTCGGCCACATGTTGGAAAGATTGTGAAGGCCACCTTGACTGGGACGTTTTACCTCACCCGCCGTATTCACCAGACATTACTCCATCCGATTATCACTTGTTCAGATCGATGGCACACGGGCTTTCGGACCAGCACTTCAACAATTATAAAGAAATAGAGAAATGGCTCAATGAATGGATCGCTTCGAAGGACGAGTCGTTTTTCCGTCACGGAATGCAACAACTGCCAGACAGATGGGAACAAATAATAGCAAGCGATGGCAAATACTTTGATCAGTGTACTTTTTCATGTTTTCTCATACTAAAGTCTTTTTTTGGAAGAAAAAACGGACCGAATTAATTCACACACCTAATATTGTCTATAATTTATACTCTATAGGGCAAAGATAAAGGGACGATTAAGAGCCGATTATTGAAGAGATCTCCGTTCGCTGATGGGCAATTATATATTATAAAAGATATCTTAAAGACAAATTTCTAATTTCTCCAAAAGTATTTAATATCTGATAAGTTGTTGGTATTTTCCAAGAAAATCATAACGAGACTACAAAATTGAATGTTACGGTAATTGACGAACAATTAGCTGTTCTTGTAACAATTTACCGACCAAGACGTTCGGGTCGTCGAATCTTGCAATTTTAGCGTTCTTCAGGGTTTCACGTTGCTCTATCATGCTTAATATTTCGACGTAGGGATTTCTACGTGACATTCTCTCGAACGTAATTCTCTCTGTCTCTCTCTCTCTCTCTCTCTCTCTCTCTCTCTCTCTCTCTCTCTCTCTCTCTCTCTCTCTCTCTCTCTCTTTCACGGCCAGCGACACTCACGTGATTTTGCGTTGCGGACCATTTTAACGCAGCACCCGTTGCAAGTCAATAGAGGTGGCTGATCCCTCGGCAGCGCCGTATAGTTGAACGGATCCTTGCATCTGAGGTCCGTCCATGAGTCGCATTCGTAGCAGTAAACGGAGCGAGCTGTGAAAAGCAGACGCATTTTCAAGGACCGCGCGTCGGTTCTATCGCGCTCGGAAAAGAATGTGCGCAAAATCGCCTAAAAAATCGGCGATTCGCGTCGACGACTCAGCGCCGTTTTTTCGTCGACGCTAATAAAAGAGGTGACTTGGAAGCAGAATTTCAGCTGGTTCATTTCACTTTACTTCGCGGACACATCGTTTTCCGAGAGCACATCTTGCGTGTAAGGTCTTTTGCGTCGATGGGCGCGCGCGCGCACGCGAGAGCTCTAAATAAAAAGAAATATCAGGCACCGTTCGCTTTTCACGGCACAATGGAGAAGCACAAGCGCTCCAGAGCGACGACACGGCCGTGCTCGACGAGACTGGACGAGAATAAGGCTGAATCGCGTCGACTGCCGAGAGAGGAAATTGAAGCGTTTGACGATTTATCGAGAACAACTCAATAAATATCGCGGACACCGTTGGAATAACTGAAAAGGGGACGGTGTCGATAGAAGGGCTCAAGTTGGAAGTAAAATGCAGTCGCTTGATAACGATTAGAATACATGGTATTGTGAAGAGAACGCCATTTCCGTCGCGAAACGTCTACGGATCGAAAACGCACGAACATATCATACGAGGAAAATCAACCGCACGTCGCTCAAGGCTGAGAAAGAACATTTCCGGCGGACACATTTAACGTGCACCGAAAGTTGCACCGTAAAAATGCACCGAAGTTCAAAGAGTGGGGGACTTTCCGGAAAAACCATAATACCGAGAAATCCAATTTTGTCGAAATATCGAAACGCACTCGTCTCACAGCCGAGATATTAACTCATTTACACTGAGAGAAAAATATATGGTATTTGGAAGTATAACGATATAGTAACTAAATTATAGTCCGAAATATCATATTTATAGTAAGTATTACCATAATATCGGTAATAATTACGATATAGGCATAGTATAACCAACCATATAATATTTTTACTAAGAATTATAGTAAGTTGAATTAAAATTATTGTTTGGATATAAATATAAAATGGTATGGGGTGAAGTAACTCTTTTATATAGTCAATATTACCAGAGTATTCGCTAAATAATGACAGATGTAACTATATGAATATTAAATCTCACTATACTTGTGAATGAGAGATTACTATATATGTGGTAAAAGTAACTAAACAATTGTTTAAGACAATCATTGACTATATACTTGTGTTTATTCTACTATATTTTGCAGGTTCCACGAACTATAAAAATATGGTTGATGCCAGAATGAACTATAAAATATAGTGAGATTATAGGTTAATTCAACTATATTTTTCTATCAGTGTGTGTGTACTTTCTTCGAGATGATTCTTTCGCACAAAAATATTGCACCCTCGAGAAAATTTCTATTCCGGAATGTTGCCTCGATATTTGAATTTCGGTACGTCGCGACTTTTCGGGAAGCTGCCTCAGCCTCCGAATTTTCAGATTCTGAATTTCCGACTCTCGAAACTTCTGTCGCGAAGCGGCGAGAGTTCTCGACGAGATTTCTCTGGGCAAGGACAGATTCCAGCGCTTTCTCCTCGTCCAGTACGGAGCTCGCGCGGTCTCCGGCCGAGGGTTGTTTTCCCGGCGCGGAGGGCGTTCTACCGCTCAACCGTGGCAACCCCGCGTTTTTAGATTCTATGAGAAAGAGAGATAGAGAGAGAGAGAGAGAGAGAGAGAGAGAGAGAGAGAGAGAGAGAGAGAGAGAGAGAGGGAAGAGAGAGTCACTTGGCCGCGGGCGCGCTTCATCGAGCCTCGTCATCGAGTGTCTCTCTAGCGAACGAGTCCGACGACACGGCACGGGCACACCGAGGGGGGAGTAAGCTGGCTTAATCACTCACTCTGGCACTCCGCATGACAGACGTTGGCAACCGCGAGTACAATTGCCGCTGAAAACGAAAGATCGGTTACTGCTTTAGGCGGTGCGTCGTACTGATAGACCGCGCGCGGGCTTACTAGTCTAGATAACTCTGTCGGGCCGGCGGGGTCGGCGGGGGGTGTCTCGTTGGTGGCAAGGAAAAGCGACGATACTACTGACAACAACAGCGCTAATCGTCGCGCTATTGATAAGACGGGGCTACGGATGCTACTATCACTACCACGACCGCTACTGTCTCTCTACGGCGCGGCTCTAGCGTACCCGAGATATTTACATGTACTCGTGACATTGGGGAGAAGAACGTTGGCTGGGTAGTGATTGCGCTATCTAGGCTAATCGTTATCATTCGGTCGTGGGGTTTGTGCGACAGACATGTCCACGTTTGCCGAGATGAACCTTGCCTCGGCGCTCTCGCGAGTCTCTTGCTCTCGTTGCCTTTGTAGAGCGTCTGGTCTCGCGACGGTGAAATATTTGCAAAGCCACCCTGCGGCGGTGGCCGAGGCTGACCGAGGATGAGAAACGTCGGGGTGTCGAGTGCAGGGTGCACGATGGATGGAACACAGAATGAGGGGATGTAGGATACATGACGGGGTGTGGAACATAAATAGAGTACGCGCGAGTTGTTATATAGCGCAGAACACATAGAATAGCGAAGGATGTTCTCGTGCAAAGAGATGCCTGGGATGCTTGGGGAAGAGTTAAACTTGACTGCAGCTTTTGCAAAAATCCCGAGACGCGTTTCCTTCTGCAGGCGTCGCACAGTGAGGCCAGATGACATTCTTCGGTTCAAAATTCTCTAGAGATCTGAATTTCCAACCGAACCTCGACACCAATGGATAAGGTGGATCCTGAATACATTCCGAAGAGATCTGTCTTGCCAAAATTAAAAAAAAAATTTTTCTCTCGCATTTTCCCCCAAAGGGGGAAAAATTATCGTTAAACGCGAAAAACTTGTGAAATACTCGTTATTCGACACTTATTTCTATCTAATAGCGTATTCAGCGGGTTGAAACTATGAAACCAATCAACAGACACCTCGAGATTTATCGATCTTGAAGCAGAAACCCATTAACCCAAAAGTCATATGCCCAAAATACAAAAACATCAAATATAGACCCGTTAAGCACAAAATCGAGAAATTTTGAGTCTTAAGCCCATCAACCTAGGAATCTATCAATCCGAGAATTTTTAGCTCGTGGATGCATGAAGCCATATATATTAAGAACCCCAAGTAGTCCAAGGACCCAATCTAGCCATAGCTCGAGAACCCAATAATACTCGACGTTGAATATTCAGCTATAAAACATTAAGTTCGAGCCTCGAAACTTTTAAGACAAACCCTAAACCCATGAACCCTGAACCGATAATATTTTCAAAATTTCGGCTAGACGGATCTCTTTGGAATTTAGTCAGGATCAACTTCATCCATTGGTGTCGATGATCGGTTGGAAATTCAGGTCTCTAGAGAATTTTGAACCAAAAAATGTCATCTGGCACCACTGGCGACTGTTTGGAATTTCGCGGGCGGAAGAAAACTTCCGTACGGGAGAAGTTGAAGAGTACGAAAAGGCAGCTCAGAGTTATTAGAGAAAGGAAAAGAAAGTTTCGTTGAATTAACATGACTGTGAGCAAGAAAGATACAGGAAACAGAACCTTTGATTCTGGTGAAGCAAAGAAAGGCTCTAGGAAGACCGGAAATTCTGTTTCCGTCCAAGATTAAAACACGTTCGGCTCGTTCATCGTCGAATTAATCCGACCCAACTTTTCCCCGTGTAATCTCTGCGTTCACGGATTTATTTATGGGAAACCGGGGGTGGTGAGCGCGCGGGTAGCTTGCTCCTTCAGCAGCTGGATGGCAAGAGGATACGCGAGGCTGACATCATGGATTGAAGCTGAAACATAGGCGCGTACAAGCAAATTCCCGCTTAGGTCGTAAAAATAATGCGCGCGCGGCGACTTTTATTTAGAATAAAGCGTAGGCAGCGCGATGCGCGATGCGACTCTTCTTTTATTTTTTTTTTTTTTTTTTAGAAAGAAATTTCCCACCATTTGTCTCGCTACTTTTCCGCTTCGTTAGACGCGACGGCGGCGGGAAAGGGCAAATTGTTCGCAGCTTCTGCACATTATGCATGAACGTTACGTAAATATTGGGGTGGACTGGAGTACAGTGTATGTATATGCATGCTTGCCGCGCAACGCAGAACGCAGCACTTGACGTTTATAAACTCGTCGTAAAGCGCGCGGCTCGCTCGAGGGGGATCTATTGCGGAGCGCTGTGAATAAATGACGCTTCGCATCATGTGACACCGCAGATAACTAGATCGATCTGTCGTGCTTGCGCCAAGTATTTTGGCGATCATTATGCAGCGAACGAGCCGTGGGTATAGTCGAGGAACGACCTGAGAAGCTCCCCACGGTGAGAGCACGTGGAGTATGAAACATAGAAGAGAGAGAGAGAGAGAGAGAGAGAGAGAGAGAGAGAGAGAGAGAGAGAGAGAGAGAGAGAGAGAGAGAGAGAGAGAGAAGTGCATAAAGAGAGGGAATATATAGGTGGCAAAGAGCGGAGGATATGTATGCAAAGTGGAGCGTGATGTGTTGCTTCTATATATACGCAACGACTATAATTTCTACGGAATAAAACTTTCGCGATTATGCATCTCATTATGATTATGCAGCTCGAGCAGTGTTCGTGCAGACCGGAGAGAACCTGGAGATGTCTGGCGCACTTTTCTGGAAAGAAACGTCCGCGTTTGATCGAACCTAACGGACTCGTGCTTCGTCAATCTCATTCGAAAAGTCGACGTCGACGTCGAGAGCATACTTGTCACTTGTTGTGATCTTAAACTGATCTTAAACTGATGCAAATCCGCAGCAATTCTTTTCATTCTCTGGTTCTCGTCTCGGTGTTCGAGTTGCATCGCGAGAGACATGCAGATCGACTCGGGCCGAGACGAATGAAAGACGAAAGCGTTGATTCCCGCGCGGTCCCTTAGATTTCTTCAAGCGCGGACTTTGTCCTTGAGTCTTACGTACGTACGTGTCCACGTACCTAGCAGCACGGAGGCAGCGGCCGTACGCGCGTTGATTGATCTAACACATAATAACGCCTACGATCTAGACTCATGGGAAGAGACTCATAGTGATTGCAGATCAGACCGTTCTAATTTCAATGCCTGGGCTTCACCAGTCGGACTACACCGATCATCCGAATGTCTAAGCAACCGCGATTCGATACTTTGTCCCTTCGATTCTACGATTGCAGGGGAAAAAACGCTGCGATGCTGGGGGACCCGCTTAGGGTCCCGCTTGACCGTGCGATGCACGTTGAAGAGTCCTCGACACAGGCAGGTAATAAATTGCAACACACATACTTTGATCTGATAAATATTCTTCGCGATCACCTCGTGATCCGTCCGATCGTGTCGGCTGTTCAGTACGTTCCACTTGACGCTCGCTCCAGCGACCGACTCGTCGTTCGATTCAATTTTGCGAGTCGGCGAAGCGCAAGAAATGAATGTTCGGGTGTTTTCGCGGCGACGTGTTTGGCCTTTGCTGAGACATTGATTAATCGAATTTTCAGAAAGCAATCTTGGCTAACGCCCCGTCGGCTGATTTCGCGAACTAGGGCTGTACTCTGAATACACCGGTGCGTTTCCTTCGTTTCTAGCTCTAACTCTAATATCGACTGTGTGTTCTCTAATTTCAAAGCACACGGACTGAATTACGTCGAATGCACGCCCGACGTTCGCGGGTAAAAATGGCTTGATTTCGACTGGACGATGGACTACCTTCTCAATACACAGAAGAGTTTTATGAGATTAAGTGGCAAGCGCGGGAAGGACGCACGCACACTCACCCACTATCAAGTGATTCGTCCACATGCTGATCGGGGGAATCTCCTTGCACTCGTCTAGCTTCGCGTCATGTCGTGACTTCCTCTGGCATCAAGCAGCGCGCGTTTCAGCGCGGCTCCGGCTCGGTTGTATATTCCGAGCGACACCTACAATACAATTACCTACATTACAAAACGGTCGTCAAATCCAATCTAGAACGATATCGAGCGTGAAAACGCACAGGACTGATGCCTGGCGTCGCAGTGTGCGCTACTCTTTGGGATGGAAATTTTTCGTTCGATTTTCTTTTAATCCGTTCAGAGAAATGTAACTGTGCAAAAATTTCTCTCGGTCAATGTTAAAATTACAATCTCTAAATAATTTCTCCTCGACCTTTCCGATTAAGTTTTTGTACTTGTTTTTATACTTGACTCACTGTAATATTACAATTAATAACCTGGAGAGACATACATGGGTGTCCCATTTTGAAGGACCCACTCAAATATCTCAGAAACACTGAGTTAAATCGAAAAATGCTTAAGACAAAAGTTGTTTAGCTTGAAGGGGGACAAAGTATTTTGTTTACAGATGGTGCTACTTTCGAGATATTCACTGATTATCAATTTTCTTAAATGGAAATCCGAATTTTTCATTATATCATCTTTTTCTACCAATTAATTTGAACAACTTTTGTCTGAATTATTTTTTTATTTGCTTAATATATTTTGAGATATTTGAGGAAACTTTTCCTTGGTAACTTGGTAACTTTTCCAACATTTACCTTACGATACCTTACTAACTATTCGTCGAAAGAAGAAATAGTATTAGACTTTTTTTTTATACATAGACTTTTTTTTTAGACATACTTTTTTTTATAGACATTCTTTTTTTTTATACATAGACTTTATATATTAGACTTTGTTTACTATCAAGAATATATTACTGTAAAATAGTACCCTAACTTTTATTAACTTATCGACCTTTGGAAATTTCAAAATTATTAAATTAATAAAAGTAAAGGCACTATTATAGTAATATATTTTTTATAGTAAATAAAATAGAAAAGTCTAATACTATTTTTTCTTTCGACGAATAATTAGCGAGATATTGTAAGGTAAATGTTGGAAAAGTTACCAAGTTTTCCTTAAATATCTCAAAATATAATAAGCAAATAAAAAAATGTTTGAGACAAGAGTTGTTCAAATTAATTGGTAGAAAAAGATGATATAATAAAAAGTTTGGATTTCCATTTAAGAAAATTGATAATCAGTTAATATCTCGAAAATATCTCTATCGGAGCCATCTATAAACAAAATGCTATCGCTGTCCTATGTCCCCCTTCAAGCTAAACAACTTTTGTCTCAGGCATTTTTCGATTTAACGCAGTGTTTCTGAGATATTTGAGTGGGTCCTTTAAAATGGGACACCCTGTATAATAACTAATAATTAATAACACCGCTTTTATTCTTTCATCGTCGTTCGTCTCTCGTTAAGCATAAAATATATTCACTTTATAGCGGCAACCTAAGGATTTATTCATACTGATTGTTTATTAGTTGATTTAAAATTAATATTCTCTGAGCAGTTGCTATCGACTTCGGGTCATCGGACGTCGTTTACGTCATTGCTCCACTTTTACACGTTATAATTGCATCTTTGAAAAATTGTCATAACACGAATATGTTCGAGGCACTTGACAGCCAGATGAGATAATGACGTCTTAAATCGTTTAACTCGTTTAGTCGCGAAGCTTAGTGCTGAACTTGTCTTGACCGAATGACAGCGTATTGTTATGTTAAGTGTTTATGTGTATCCGGGAACTTTTACACTTAGAGATTGATCGTGATAACTGTTTGACAACTTTACGCTGTTTATTAAAACAAATTGGTAACTGCGCGGCATAAAGTTCAGCGTTCTCTAACTACGTTCTCTCTGACCCCTTACCGTATCAACAACGATTACAAGCAATTATTAAAGATCACGTCATTTCTCACAGTTACATACGTTACGTAAAACTCCTCGCTCAACATAGTGTACTACGCTTGGCAGAAATACTCGGTACAAAGCACAAATGGCAAAAAGTCATAAAGATTCAATTTTCATCTTATTTCGTGTTTTCTTCTTATTTCATCTTATTTCGTGTTTCCTCCGGCAGAATCGAACAATTTAACCCTTCCGAAAGAGAATCAGAATAATATCAATCCCCCTTTCTATCGTGCGCGATCACTTCGTTCCACAGCAGCATACTGAAAATCGCTACCTCTGCCAAATTGCTTCGAGGATTTTTAATTTAATCTCACCGCTTATAAGCTTCACGCAAATTGCTTCAGTCCCTCATGAACGCAGCGTGTATATTAAGAGACGAGAGGCGGATTTGCTTTTTCTTTTAATTTTCAGATGTAGTGTACACCTGAAAAAATGTGTGGCATCCCTTTTAGACACATTCCGCACATACGTTTCCTCGTGGGTCTCAGTGTCCCGTAATTGACGATGCAACCGAGAAACCAACGATTCCACGCGAATGAAAATTAGTCCAAGTGCATAGTCACTGCAGATATCTTTTCCGTTGTACCACCAAATACGGGACACCGCGTATAATTTGCTTATCACGCGTCGTGTTCAAGGCTGACTTGCTTTCTCTCTGACCCCTTACCGTATCAACAACGATAAGCAATTATTAAAGATCACGTCATTTCTCACAGTATACGTTACGTAAAACTCCTCGCTCAACATCCTCCCGATATCGCTCACGTTCACGCGGGGATACTCGCGAGAATATAAAGAAACGCTTTCTCTCTAAAAGGGAGACGTTCCCGTACTTTTAAAAGACCGCGAGTTCGAGTAGCAACCGGAAGTCGCTTCGGGCACCGCGTCCATTTCTCCTACATTTGCTGTGAACTTTCGATCCCCGTTCAATCCCTTTCCTTTCTCTCTTTTTGAGTTTTCGCGTTGCCGGACGTATCACTCGCATATCGGTAAGGCGCTTAGTTCGGCGCTAAGCACAACGATCGGAAATGTGGGCCAAGGCTGCACGGAATCGGGGAAGTGCGTTACGCGTACCCCCGTAAACCAGGCGCTGTAAAGCGCGCTTAACGCATTCGTAAACCTAAATACAAATTCGCACATACTTCTTCCGTTTTCGCACCACTTTCCTACTCGGAACAGTTAATTCCTCCCTGTCTATATCTCCCTTTCATTCTTTCTCCCTCTTTTTCTCCCTCTCTCGCCCCCTTTCTCCGCTGGTAAAACCACCGTTGTCCTCTTTACCGAAGTCCCGTGTACGCAAGGCTCGCCTATTTCCCTCGATCAGCCGTCGTCATCGTTCGTCTATCGTCCCGCGATCTCAGATTCGATTGTTGACCCTGCAGCAGCGTGAGAGAGAGAGAGAGAGAGAGAGAGAGAGAAAGAGAGAGAAAGATCCGCACACCCCTCTGCGCCTACACCCTTTCCTCGAGCTCGAGCACAGCCTGACGCGCCTGCCTGTCTGGTTCTGTTTATTTGTCGCGGCGAACCCTCGTCGTCATCGTCGTCGTCGTCGTCGTCGTCGTCGTCGTCGCCGTTGTCGTGCGTAGCGAGGTGGACACTGGTGAGAAGACGCGTGCGAAATCGAGGACACCGATCGCAGCACGATGCAGCACAATGCAGTTTCGCGCAACGCCACGATGCGACTACGCGGCCGTACGCTGCAAAAGCGACGGCGTACAAGCGCTTTTACGGAACTGACGCGCGCGCGAGTCGACCGCGCCGAGCGGAGCGCGGATTCAGGTCGATCAATATGTCGCGCGGAGCGCTAGTCCGTGCCACGTGCTCACACGTTGCGGTAACTATACCGACGCAGCAGCAGCAGCAGCAAGCCGTTGCTCGGTAGGAGTTTTCTTCACGGCCGTGCACAATAGCTGACATTCTATTCAACACGTCGACAGCTGACATGATCGCGACATGTTGAATCGGCCGCACGGTTGATGACGGGAATGCTCGGAGGAAGTGTACGGATGAATTTGACGTAGGAAGGAAAGGAAGAACGGCACACGGGTCGGTCTATTGTGGAAGAGAGACGTTTGCGCACCTCGCCGTTGATTTCTTGCGAAGTTTGAAAGCCGGAGAAACGAGAGCGTGGAATTTGCACCTGAAAACCAGGGAATCTGCTCACCATCGCTGCATCATCAGGATTCATCGTGCTGCTTTCTGAATTTCTTTCTTTTCTCAGCAGTGGTAATGGAGGTTGGTGCTTCATGACTTCGGTTCTGTCTCAGAGATATTGTAAAGAAGAAGGAGAAGATTTATTTACTCTTTCCAATGGAATATGTTAATCTTTTAATTTAATTAGTACTCTGAAGACATTGATAAAGGAATAAAGTTCCTGAAGTATAAAATCGAGTACAGTCAAATGAGGAATTAAAATTTTTCAGTATATACTTAATTTTAACAGAAATTTAACAGTTAATTCTGTAAACGGAATAATCGAGTATTTTCGACATTTGATGTTATCTCATAGAGTTGGTTATTTATAAGCAACCTATTAAATTTAGATTTAACTATTAAATTAATCTATTAAATTTAGACTAATTAAATTTAGAAATTTGGAAATTCAGTCGCGTCTCAGGCGCTACTGAAAAATACAGTGACGTTTCAAGCGTACCAGTCACGCGAGAGGTAGCGACGCCGTATAATTAATTTCTCGCCAGTTAAGGGAAATATGATTCGCTTTTTGTCAATTATGAGGCATTGAGTTCAAGTATAAAGCGAGTTGGAGCCGATTGCTGTGAAGACTCCGTGTTTCGCGTTTACTCCGTCACTTTTAAAACGACAAGTGACAGAGCATTAATCTCTCGCCACCGAGGTGTGCTGAAGAATTTATATTCAGAAGAAATAAATTCTCGAAATGCGCATATCACGAGGAAGACAGCTGCGCAGTGTGTCGCGAATATAACGTAAATTCGCTTCCTCCGTATCGCAATTTTTCACTCGACGCCGTCTAAATATTTGCCCGACTATACAGCGTTGTTCATTTCGATCTCCTTCACTTTCAACAGTCGTAGCTGCTGATTAACAAGATTGATGGCGCAATCTTGGAAAGGAAAATGTTTGCTAATAGGCACATACTTGGAGAGTGTGCTAGAAATCAATAAATTGAACTCTGCATTCTTAACGGCACGTTTATCAGTCCCAGTTCGCTGTAAATCAACTACAAAACGTGCCTTGGCGTGATTGAAAAGTCATCGTCGATGGTACGACGATAAGTATGTTCCACGAAATGTTATTTGAATTGCAAAATTATTTCGCACCCTGTGACCGCATCGATGATCCTATATTCCGGCGTTTCTCAGTTATCCGCAAGCTCGGCAGATAAACCCGTTCGTTCCACGCGCAATTTTACCCACTCACGGCAGCTGGTCGTGCGATCGTATTCGACCAGTGACGAGATTTCTCGACGTCAATTCTCTGAGTTTTAGATACCTGACGAAAACGTTGCCTTTGAACTCACAGTTTAGTATCCGCAGCGATAAATTAACGAGAAAGGCTTCTCCGCTGTCGTCGATATGAGCGGATAACTACGGCCTGCCTACACTCGCAGCAACAAGCGCACTTTACTCATTCAGCTAAGTTTCCCGCCGTTCCATCTTTATACGATGCTTTATTTTACCGTCAGTGAAACACTTTGCTACAGGGTGTCGGCAAAATAGGGCCACTGTACTAACACCATGCGGCAAAAGTGTGTCGTTTCACGTACAGAACGATTGAGTGAATTTTTCTATTCGGAGATCGTGTATCTGCAGTGACCTAGAGAATAAAAATTATAATCCTCCTTTCTGTAACGTATAAAGCAAAAATTACCGTTTTCCTCTAATTACTAATAATCTTATTTACAACTGCGTTAATATTTTCGATGTGAGCAACATCGTTACGATGAAATCTATCTCGTCCATTAACATATTCTATGCAACATCGAGATGGCGTCTACTATTCAGTTTTTTATGAAGATATTTTAATCCTGGATTGTTTATTAATGATCAGATTCATTTATTTATGCGTTGAAGACTAGATCGTCTGGTGTATCATGATTCTTTGATGATCACAGGGGCTGGAAACAACGAAGATCACGTTAAATGAATTACGCTATGCACAATATATTATATTGTATATTGAAATTAGACAGAAGAGAAAATTACTATTTTATTTCTATTACAAATAGATCACAGGAATTTATATCGATTACTTCTTAATTGTGAGTTAATAAAAACGGAAAGTTTTCTTATAAAATAAGCATCTCAGATGCATGAAAAAATCTTCAACTTAATTTCGTGTCTCTACTTAAGAGAATAGATTTTAGTAAAATTTTTATTTTAAGTTAACGACAAAATACTCGGAATTAAACGTTCAAGCGTTATGGAAAAGACGGCGAAAATTTATTTGCTTAAGGAGACTGTCTCCTAATTCGACGAAGATCAGATAAAACGTCATACCAGAGAGACACACTATATATATTTGAATAGACTATAATCCGTCTGAAAGTAGTATATTTGTCAATTCAGCGATATATATTGCTGACGTCAAGAGCGAGTAAATTTGCAAATTGCGACAGAGTCGAAAGTCTGACCTCGGATTCGAAATATCCGCAATAAATTACAAAATCAGTATTACTGGTTTCCACATTACACTACATTATTGCTGTCTATGTTATTTTGATATAATACCGTTGCGGCGAGGTCTACTGCATCTATCAATATGATAAAAGTAGCGTTTGATATTTTCGCGAAATTTTCGAAAAGTTCAGAAAGTACACGAAATTCGGGAGAGATAGTTTGCCGTCTTCATTGGTGTTCCAATGAAAACCAAACGAAAAGAGGAGTAGATTACTAAAGGCTGAAATTGAAATACGAAAGACTCAAGTGTAAATATATATATATATATATATATAAAAGCAAGTAGAAAAGCACTCATAGAAATTTCAGCGCGTCCAATTAAACAATACGCCTGCCACAAAAGCCGAGCCGCCGACTGCAGCAACGTCTAACTTGGTGCCGCAACGCCGCAATTTGCGTGCAAATCGTAAAAGTGTACTCGCGATGCTGGCTGCCGCGAAAGCGGCTATCCCGGGATTTCGCGGAGATGACTCCGAGAGCGAGAGGGTGCAGGTGGGAGTTGGCTATTATCCCGTCGCGAGCGATTCGCAGCCAGAATCGTAATCAGAGAAAAAAGACCAGAAACCGGGAGAAAAATTCAAATAAAAAGAAAGAAAGAAATTACAGCCGACGAGCGTGTTAACTCAGAGGCGACGTGTTCCTCCGTTGGCAGGCACGAAAAAGCAGCCACCCTCGGTCCAGATCAGCACCGACGGTGCCTCGAAACGGCCCCGACAGCGAGCCGTGAAAGATGCATCGGTGCACTTTCGCGACGTGGGTGTACGTGCGGCGCGGCTTGGCCTTGCCACGATTGGTCCGACCGCACCGGTGTGCATCGCGCGCGCAGAGGCCGCGCCGCAGTGCACGGCTGCAGTCGAGTCATTATGCAGGTACTGCTGGTTGTCGCTTGTGCCCGCCACGACCGCAGACCGACGTTGAGTGTTGACTGCCGCTGTCGGTGTCAACTCCCGCGGTGCAACCCTCGCGCGCCCGGCGTTGCTGCTGCTGCTGCTGCTGCTGCTGTTGCTATTGCTGCTGCTGCTGCTGTTGCTATTGCTGCTGCTGCTGCTGCTGCTGCTGCTGCTGCTGCTGCTGCTGCTGCTGCCACTGCCACTGCTGCTGTTGCTGTTGATGAGCCGCGCTCATCGCGTCGTTGCATCCTGAGCGGGCGCGTGCGTCGGCGAACCGCCGAATCTATTATATCGCACCGAATGCGATTCCCGGCAACGACCCGCGTCTCGCCCCGTCGAGCGAGCGAGCGCGGATGTGCGTCGTGCGTGGCGCACTCTCGCCCTCATTAATTCTCCTTCTCTCCGCCCGCGCCGGCGCGGCGCGTCGCGCTTCGCGTTTCAACCGCTCCGATGATACCGATCACCGGAAATGCTTCGTCGGCACGCCGCTTTGCGACGGGTATTATTTTAATGCTATTATGATTCGATTTGCGGTGCTCTGTTATGTTTGAATTAAACGTTGACGACGTCTTTCTTCCTCTTCTGCGGGGGACTGGGAATGACGATAAAATCTCGAAGATATTCTTGAATTAATTCAACTTCTGGGGAGTCGGAGATGAAAGAAGGAGGAGGGTAGGGGATGGGGAGGAGGAGCTGAAGGAATTTTTGTAATTATGCACGTGTACTTTTAGCTCTAGATCAAATCTGCATACACGAAAGACACGAAGCAATCATTTGAATGATATCGGTGTTAATTAATAATCATTAAACCGGGATGGAAGGGTCGGCTCGACGGGGATGAAAACGACGTCTGAAAGTGCCCGTCATTTCTCCGCGAAGCCTTAT